AACTTCCTGTGGGGGCACTGGCTGAAGAGGTGGAGCCAGGAGCGCCAGCCGTGGACCTGAGAAGAGGATCAGGGCTGCTCTATGCAAAACATATTGCACAGAGTGGGTAAGTATGACATGTTTGTTATTTTAATTAAAAATGGCTGAAGCTTTAAAATCAATTTAGGGTCCCTGAAGGGGACACATGGCCACGATTTAGGGTTAGAAGAATGGAGATTTAACCTAAACCTAAGCTATATAACTTTTTTTTCATTATCTTAATCTGCTTAGTCATAAAATAAGGGAATAATGGAATAGTTGGTGCTTATCCACTTGTTGTCTAAAAGATTTAGCCACCTTAATAACCAGGCCATTTTTTTGGCACTGCGCTACTTTAACTGACAATTGCGCGGTCATGGACACACTGTACACAAATTAAATTTATAGCATTTTTTCACACAAATAGAACTTTCTTATGGTGGTATTTGATCATCACTGGATTTTTATCTTTTTTTTTTGCGCTATAAACAAAAATAGACAGAAAATTAAAAAAAAAAAAACATTTTTTAATTTTAAAACATATCCAATACCAAAAAAAAATATTTTTTTTTTTTAAATCAAATTTCTTTATAAATTTAGGCCAATATGTATTCTGCTACATGTCTCTGGTAAAAAAAAAAATTGCAACAATTGTATTATAATTGGTTTCCGTGAAAATTATACCTTCTACAAACAATAATATATACACTGGAATTTTTTTTATACTAGTAATGATGGTGACCAGCGACGTATTGTGGGACTGCAATAGTACGGTGGGCATTCTGACACTAAATCACACTGGGTGGGAACTGACTAACTGCCACTGAAATTTCCAGTGACACTAATACCGTGATCAGTGCTAATACAAAAGTACTGTACTAATGATGCTGGGCAGGAAGGGGTTAAGATCTGGGATGATTAAAGGGTTAAGTGTGTGTTAGGTAGTGATTTTACTGTGTGATTTGTTGTGTTTTACTAGGGGATGTGCTGACTTTTACCTCCCTGCTTTTCAGAGAGATATAAAACTGCATGTCTTCACTGACTAGAGAGAGATCTGTGTTGTTTACACTCACAGATCTCTCTCCTGTCAGTTGCTCTGCCAATCACCAGGTCCCGGCCATGTATTGCTGGCCGGGATCTGGTGATTAACATCTACAGGTGCCAATAACAGCATGAGCAGGACACCGCGCGTGCGCACCCCCTACCTGGGAATGCAGAATCACGTATATATACGTGATTCTGAACAGAGCAGCTGCCCTGTAGCAGTAAAACTATAGGGCAGTCAGCAAGTAGTTATTTGGTGTTTATACAGTATTGTAATGCCCATCTAGAATTCGGAGTCCAGGTTTGGACACCTTTTGGAGATTAAAATGTGGTATAGTAAATAAAAGTGAGCACCCTAAGGTAAGCAGCTGGACACTCAAGGAAACCAAGTAAAAACCTCTGTCACAAACATATAATGGGAAAGTGCAGCGCTATATAATGAAAATAGGTATATAATGTCCCCAATAACATTAGCATATAACAGTGACAGTCTATATGGTGAAGACAATATGGTGTAATGATCCAATCCAGTGGCGGTGCTCCCAGTGATAAGGTAAGAACTATGCACTCACCAGTCCAGACCTATATCCTTCACAGATATAGGTCCGGACTGGAACACAGGATAATTCTCCCTCAGGGTGGTATGGTTATGAGCCCTCAGAGATGTAGGATGATCCAGATTTTCTGCAGTTTATTATTTCTGTAGCCCATTCTGTCTATAGCCGTTGCCATCTTTATGGAGTCCTCTCACTCTTTTGCCCACCCGAACTTCCACCTTGTTCAAATGTTTAGTCAAAGTGAAACCTGAAATGAAAGCAAAAGTGGGGCACCCAATGATGGGGCACTATTCCTTCCACTGACACAAACGATGGAATACTAGCCCTCCCACTGATACCAGTGAGCGCTTTTTCTTTCACAAACACCAACAATGTGACACAATTAATACGTTTTTCTGCTCCGACTGACCACCAAGTCTGAGAGATTGTTTACTTCCACTGATGTTGGGGCATTTTCTACTCCCACTGGCCACAGTATGCCACCATGAAGTGTGAAGGACCGTAAACTAGCCCCTTTTTTTTTAAAGTTTGGGGACCCTTAACGTGCTAACAGCCAATCTAGGTTTGAGCCAAACCATCCTTAGTTATAACCCCTGTAATTTTTTTCTGAGTTCCATTAGAAAAATGTCCCTTCGCTTCCTGTCCCATTGCCAAAACAGGAGGAAATCCCTCTAAAGTTAGAGAATCCCCGTTTTGTTCCCATTTGGAAACTACCACTACATTCCTGTTCTGGTGACGACCCAAAATGTGGGATTTTGTTTCACTTTCATGTAAAAAACTGCAAGCAAGATAAATAGGGAGGGTGAGTGTCCTTAATGGGGGCGCAGACAGTAGTAGACACTTGACAGGTGCTCTAATCGCTCTCCACTCTATTAAAAAATAAAAGTTTTGTGTTTAGTTATACTTTAACCAAAGTAGATTAAAAAAATGTTCAGTTTTTTAAATAAATTGGTTTGTCTAATTTGAGAAAAGACACCTTAATATATAAAATTATCTAAGGCTATTATGAAGATTGAAGTATATAAAGATATCTCATAGTCTCAGTAACTGCAGTGGGTCCAGGTAGGGTTTAAAGTGTTACTAAACCCACAACAGTAAAATCAGTCTGTATTTGCAGTAAAGCATGCTTGTTATACTCACGGTGGAACCTAAGGGGTTAATCCTCTGCTTTGTGTAAAAAGACTGTTTGATCCTGACTTCTTTGCTCCACCTCTTGTTCAAATGTCCACGTCTTATCTCTTGATAAGACAGACTGAACCATAGCCATTCTGCTCATGCTCAGTTTAGTGTGTATTGCAAGATAGGTTTTTTTTTCTTGAGAGAGTGCATGTGATCAGCACAGGACCAATTAGCACTGTCCAGACAGAGGTCATGGGTTCCTCATCCTCCTAGAGCAGAAAGAAAACTTCTACAAGCTTTAACCAGTGCTCTGCTGAACACTGATAGAAGTCACAAGATTTCTCTAACTGCTGATGAGAAAATGTATTTAGCATTTTATATTTAGTAAAATAATTGCATTTCCATGTTGTGTGTGCTGTGGGAGACAGGATATAGCAGGGACGGACTGACCATTCGAGCATTGCCCGAGGGCCTGGGATCAGTAGGGGGCCCGGTGAAAGGCTCACTGGGCACAATTCACTAAGTGATATCTTACCACATCCGAGTATGCAGTAGGATGCGGTCTCCCCCCCAAAGTACCTTGTCCCCATGTTTATGGGGACAAGGGCCTCTTCCCCACAACCTTAGCCTGTGGTTGTGGGGGTCTGCGGGTGGGGAGCTTATTGGAATCTGGAAGCCCCCTTTAGCAAGGGGGCCCCCAGATCCCAGCCCCCGCCACGTGAATGAGTATGGGGTACATGGTACCACTACCCATTCACAAAAAAAAAAGGTGTAGTGTGAAAAAAGACAGGAGACAGTCTTTGACGAGTCCTTTATTAAATGAAGAAAAATAAAAGAATGTCCCCTGAAGTCAATCACGATGCCCGCCACCGCCGCTACCCAAAAAAGAAAAAAAAAGCCCCGCTCCTGATGCTGGCTCCCGGCCGTTTGACTGTTCTGCTTCCTTCACAGTTCTTAAATGTGTGACATGTATGACCTTGTAGCGTCATCAAGCGGGGAATGCTGGGTGAATGATGTCACAAGGAGGTGGGGCCACATGTGTTATGTCACTGGGTGGCCCGCCCCTTACATATTTAAGTACTGGCAAGCCAGCGGAGCTGGGAGCCAGCATCGGGAGCAGAGCCTTTTTTTTTTCTTTTTTCGGGTAGTGGCGGCGGCGGGCATCGTGATTGACGTTGGATCTACATCAGGGGACATTCTTTTATTTTTTCTTCTTTTAATAAAGGACTTCTGAAAGACTGTCTCCTGTCTTTTTTCAGACTACACTTTTTTTGTGAATGGGTAGCGGTACCATGTACCCCATACTCATTCTCATGGGGGGGGGGGGGCTGGGATCTGGAGGCCCCCTTGCTAATGGGGGCTTCAGATTCCGATAAGCTCCCCATCCGCAGACCCCCACAACCTCAGGCCAGGGTTGTGGGGAAGAGGCCCTTGTCCCCATCAACATAGGGACAAGGTGCTTTGGGGGGAACCGCCCCAAAGCACCCCCATGTTGAGGGCATGTGGCCTGGTATGGTTCGGGGGGGTGCTCGCTCACCCCTCCCCTTTCCTGACCTGCTGGGCTGCATGCTCAGATAAGGGTCTGGTATGGATCTTGGGGGGGACCCCACTCCATTTTTTTCTTAATTTTGGTGTGAGGGTTCCCCTCAAAACCCAAACAAGACCCAAAGGGTTTGGTATGAATGGAGGGAGGAACCCATGACGTTGTTTTATTATTTATTTTAAAATTATTTTTAATGCCCTTTCTATGCAGCTGAGCTGCAATATGTAGGTGGGGTGTTGTGTGGGTGTGGCTTTGGCTTTAGTTTAGGCAGAGACACAGGGGGCCCCATTATCTCTTATTGCCCGGGGGCCCCATGAGTTGTCACTCTGCCCCTGGGATATAGTGAATGCAGGGTCTGGGATTTAGTAACACCTTAATGCTGTCATTGACAGCAGTGGACCAGCATGAAAGAGCTGCAAGTCAGTGCAACACAATGCTTTTAAACTGCCTATAAATTGATAGATCCAACACTAACCTGCCTACCCAGGGGGCGGACTGACCATTTGGAAACTCGAGCACTGCCCGAGGGCCCGGGGTCAGTAGGGGGGCCCCATGAGATGCCCCTGGTACCTTTTTCATAGGCTTTTTTGAGTTTGGGCAAGGACACAGGGGCCCCATGATCCCCTATTGCCCGGGGGCCCCATGAGTTCTCAGTCCGCCCCTGTGCCTACCCATACAACAACAGATTATTTAAATAAAGGTCTATTGCTTTCTCATAGCAGCAAGCCATAGACCACTATTATACATTATTTGTTGCTGCAGAGGTGCAATGGGGGTGAATGAGGTATCCCCTGACCTGATCCAAAACCCCATGACAAAAAATTTATTAAAAAGCAAAAACAAATTAAATAATTAAAATATGATGAATAAATCACTCCATTAAAATAAAACCCTCTCTACCTATCCCCTGGTCCAAACAAATGTACACTGGATGACCCTTGTGTCATGAAACACTCATAAGAGATTGTAGTGCATTTAGGAATCACAAACTGAAAGTGATGCTGGTATGCTGATTTCTGTCCATACAAAACTGAGTTTATCCTAACATATCACTAACCATGTTTGTGCAAAGTTTCCCTATGAGCATAACTCTGTACTCCTAATGTGGCAAAAATCTCTCCTGAAAATAACAGACTTCGACTTTAAGCTTTACAATTTTGCTACACTGCATAAAAAGAAAATAGTCCGAAGGCTTTGATGATAATATTTTGTGCAAATTACATATAACATATTTAGTATAGCGATAGCTGTACTCCAAACACTCAGTAAAAATGTAGTTAATAAAAGAGATGAGCCCACCAGATGGCATACACCTTGTTGGGCATAAGCCAGCAATTCTTGAAGTTCTTCTTTGGCATAGTAAAAACTGTAATATGCTTTAACATTTTTTACCTGATTCTATAGGTGCTTTAACATTTTTTACCTGTTTCTAGCTAATTAAAACTTAGGAACTAAAAATATGTGTATGAAAATCTGCTATTATACAAAAGCCCTGTTTTTCCTGAAAATAAAAAGGATAAATAATACAGTAGGGTAGACTAAAAAAGTAATAAGTTATAAGGTGTGAAACTGAGACATCTCCAAAAAGGAGAAATACTCTGGGACTTATGCTTTAAAGGAGGTGGTAGCTCTGTGGGTTTTGGGTTAAAGCAAGGGTTCAGTCATCCATTTTTGTCTCTTAGGGTCCAATATGAGATTTCAACATTTAAGTTTCTCTCTACTTTCATCTGCAGGGACCAATGCAATCTTACTGCTGTAGGATTCCCTTTTTACATTTCAGAAAAAAACACATATCATTACCTACTCTGTGCAATGAAATTGCACAGAGCTGCCAGAACCTTCTCTTCTAGGGTGTCCTGCCAGGGCTCCTGGCTCTTCCTCTTCTGCAAGTGCCCCCATAGCAAGCCACTTGCTATAGGGGTACACATGCAGGCTCGCTTCCGAGCCTTGCTGCCTGTTTCAATAGATGACGCAGATAGCATCATCCATTGCCACAGCCCTGCTCCTGCTCCCTTGCCACAATATTTGATTGACAGCAGAATGAGCCTCAGCAAAGCCTCTGAGAGTGGGGAGAGAGCCAATACAGATGGGCACAGCACTGAATCCAGTGAGGACTCAGGTAAGTATAAGGGGGGAGTGAGGGGGCAATACTGCTACCTAAACATTTTTACCTTAATGCAGAGAATGAGTTAAGTTAAAGCTTGTTTAGGCTTTAGAACCACTTTAGGACATTCTAATGACATGAAAGACTATAATAAATTATATAACAAACTGGGAACAAGGGGATCACCAATTGTGCCCACCGATGAACTAAAATACTAGTTGTTGGCAAACAGCATTATAATCAGAAGCTCTTTTATGGCAGTGAAAAGGTGTCTTTATTTTGCTGTAATTCTGTCTGTGACTTTATAGTCATTGCTTGTCACACTCAGTTTGCCTCTGTAGGAATGCAATATGTTTGCCACAGTGATGAAAACATTTTTATGAGTAACTGTGATAAGAATAATGACACCAGAAAGCAACAGTTTCTTTTTCAATAAGGTTGAGAAAATGAAAAGAATGTTCAGAAAGTATATTCAGAATATATGCCTCAAGCCTGCTTTATAGTATACTGTATTTTACAGCAGTGGTGATGCCTGAACTGTGAACCAAGTTTAATTGCTTAGAGGGCCCCTATTATGAAAAATATTCTATTTGATAACAGTATGAGGTTCATATATGTAGTGATGGAAATGTATTTTTTTTCTCATTTCACTTGCATTTATTATTTATTGTCTCCACATTTACATGCAGACCAACCTGACCAACACAAATGTCAATGGTAGAGTTGAGACAGAGTACAAGATTGCTAGGGTGAAGTGTGGGGTGGGGAGGGGGTGTAATGCAGCAAGTTAAAGTGGTCCTAAACAGAAAAGCAAAAATTCAGTATATTGCCATTAACCTATTCTATTACTTTTTTTATGCTTTTGTTTATTTATTTTGTTTCTTTATTTTCACCTGGTGATCTGCTAGTCTGTATTTTTTGTATTAAAGCCTTGGGGTTTTTTTGTTAGTTTTTTTAAATAATAAACATGTCATACATGCCTGCTCTGTACAATGGTTTTGCACAGAGCAGCCCCAATCCTCCTCTTCTTGGGTCCCCCTCCGGTGCTCCTGGCTCCTCTTCCCTGCCAAGTGCCCTCATAGCAAATTATAATCATACGTGCTCGCTCCCAAGCCCCACGCTGCGTGTCTATAGGGTGCACAGGGGCTGATTTACTTAAAGCGCAGTTCCACCCAAAAGGGGAAGATCCGCTTTAATGCTTTGTCCCCTGCTCCCCATTAAGGATTGGCACCTTTGGGGAGCGGGGGGGAGTGGGTACCGGAATTTGACAGGTACCCGCTCCCACTTCTGCTGCGTTTGCCTAGGCAATTAGAAGCAGAAGTTGTCCTCCCCCCTCCCTCCCTCCCCATAGTATTCTGGGACACATGACAGGTCCCAGAAGACTATGGGGCCATTCACAAAGCACAGTGCTTCTCGCGCATGCACAGTGGGCACCCGGCTATGAAGCTGCAAGCTGTCACAGCCGGGTGCCCACACTAAAGATGCCGGTGCCAGGGGAGAGACCACTGCTGGTGACACCCGCAGTGGTGAGGACACTGCTGGACCAAGGGACAGGTAAGTGGCTGTATTTTCAAAGTCAGCAGCTACAGTTTTTTTTTTTTTTTTTGCAGCTGGAACTCCGCTTTAAGCTGGAGAGTGCAAAATCTGGTGCAGCTGTGCTTAGTAGCCAATCAGCTTCTAACTTCAGCTTGTTCAGTTAAGCTTTGACAATAAGGCTGGCCATATATTATACAATTTTCTGTACAATTTCTTTTAGATTTACCTTCAACTATGTAGTGCCTGCCTAATTGGATATATTTGAAAGTGTTTAGGTTTGACCTCATAAAATATGCTTTTTGGTAAATCTAAAGGAAAATTGTACAAGAAAATTGTATAATGTATGGCCAGCCTAAAACCTGGAAACTGATTGGTTTATATGCACAGCTGCACCAGACTTTTCCCTCTCCAGTTTTTGTAAATCAATCCCAGAGTGCTGCTCAGCCCCGAACCCACTCTCTCCTCGCTGGCTGTGATTGACAGCAGTGGAATCCAATGGCTTTGCTGCTGTGTCTCAAGCAGTGAGGACAGAGAGACCCGGAACAGCCAAGGCTCCTGTGCACAGACATGCACTGGATCATGATTAAGGTGTCCTTTTATGACACAGAGAATAGCTGTGATTCAGAGGATCGCAGCTATTCTCTGGTCATTCACAGTTTATAACACTCAGGAGAACATGTTCAGCTCTTCACTGGAGATCTGTGTTCTCCCTCCAGATTCTCCAGCCCAGAGCTGGAAAATCAGAGGGACCGCAAACTAAGCAGAGAGATAATTTACCTCTGCTTAGTAAACTGATCTTTTACTGTAATCTCACGAGATTATAGTAAAATCAGCCATTTTCCAGCGTTTGTAGACCGTTCTCCCTTCATTTGGAGAACTGATCTACATATGCTTCATAAACGGCATTCACAGGAGAACTGTGTTCTCCGAGAATGTCGGAGAACTGAGCAGCAATCTATTACTGCTGGTTCATAAACGGACACCTAAGCTCACATAAGTATTGGGGAAGAGCTGCACACAGAAGGTTTTTTACCTTCATGCATACAATATATGAAGGTTAAAAAAACCTTCAGCCTTTACAGCCACTTTACCAAACCAAACTGTCCAGCAAAAGTGACAGTTGGTGGATTAAAACAATGCATTTACCACTGACAGAGGTGCCTAAAATGGTCAGCTTTTATTCATTCAGGGCTCATTCACACCATACGTGCATAAAAATTATGGAAACTGATGCGCAGAATTAACTTGCAGAAACATCAGTTTACATTCATTTTCATGCATGTTTCAATGAGTTTTTTATACACACTGCAAATTGCTGCGCAGAAAAAAATCTGCATGTGATACTAGTGTTGTAGTGTGAACAGGGCACATAGAGAACAATTGATTTCATTGTGCCCTTGCAGAACATGTGCAAAAAACCTGAGGTCCCTGCACCATGGTATGAACGAGCCTTGCTGTTGTAACTGCTTAAAAAGCTTTAGCTGCTGCTCAGCTTTAATTTGTTAATCAAGCACATCTATATGCTACTGCTTCTAGCTACCCTCTCCACAGGTTAACACTGCAGCTGTTCAAGGGTGTCTCTGTTGCTCCTCCATCTAGAGTGAAGACACTCTAAGGCTAGGTTCACACCTATGTAGGTTGCGTTTGACTCATTTCTGCATTGCGTTATGCATTGTGTTTCACTTTTTGCTGTGCTTTTTATGTGTTTTTTGGGGGGGTCTTTTTTTTTCTTTTTATTGTTGCTAGGCAGATTAAAAACACAAAACACTGCAAAAATGCAGCAAAAATGCAGGGCATGCTTTTCTGCAGCATTTCCATTGAAATCTATAGAACCAAAAATGCAACTTTTTGCATTAAAAAAATCCCTGTCCCTTTTAAAAAAATGCACAGGATGAAAACATGGCGATGTGAACGTGTGCCATAGGAAATCATGTTAAATGTACTGTACTGTGTTTCTGCAAAATGCAAAACGCTGCGGAAAATGCTTAGGTGTGCACCTAGGGCAGTGTTTCTCAACTCCAGTCCTCATGGACCCCCAACAGGTCATGTTTTCAGGATTTCCCTCAGATGAAACAGCTGTGGTAATTACTAAGGCAGTGAAACTGATCAAATCACCTGTGCAAAATAATGGAA